GCTCCCTGCTCAGTGGGAAGCCTGCTTCTCCCTCTCCCACTCCCTCTGCTTGTGTTCCCTCTCTCGCTGTGTCTCTCTCTGTCAAATAAATAAATATAATCTTTAAAAAAAAAAGAGTCGTATGCTCTTCGGACTGAGCCAGCCAGGCACCCCTCCAACTCAGCACTTTTTATCTCACCCCTTAAGCACTCAAGTTATTACATATTTACTCGCTTCTTTACTCCTTTAACCTCTCTAGGACACTAAGCTATGTGAAAACTAATAAAAAGAAAACTAGTTGAAAACAGAGTCAGGAGGCCAGAAGGGGGAGCTCTCAAGCCCTGACACTCGAGGTCAATGGCAGACCCCAACAGAAGAGAGGTACCACGCATTCCCCACAGGAGGAAACATACACTTTATCATCCTCACAGGAGGATGCAAGATCGTCTCCTTGCCTGGCAACTGCCTAGCCAAGGAGAGACTGTCACAACTCAAGCAATGAGAAGCCACTAGACTTTGAGCTCCCAGTTTACTCCAATGGATTTTTTTGTTTATAACAGCCCCTCTCAATTCCCCCTTTCCCCTGTGAAAGAGCAGTCCTCTTTGTTCTCTGGCTTGCCTATGGTTTTGCCATAGGTTATACGTCCCAAACTGCAATTATCCATTTCCCCAATAAACCCATTTTGCTAGTAAAATAACTGCCAGTTTTCTTTTTTAAGGTTAACAACAACGAGGGCGGGCAAGACCCTGTCAATTTCACTGCTCTTAGAGAATCGCCAATAGTTCACAAAGTGTCAGTAACGTCCATGTCCCTCCCTAAAAGTTCCTGCTAAAGGACCTGCCGCCCCCTCTTGTTATCCACTGGCTGGGCCCTGCCTAGCAGGGCTATTTTCTGGCTCTCAAATGGCCAACCTCATTCCCATCACTGTCCATCACACCACCCCCCGACTTCTTGTTTATTTACTCGTTTACTGTCTCCCTGAGGAACTTAAGGTTTCCAAGAGACCACGAAGTTTTATCTATTTTATCACTGCTTTGAACCCAGCACGAATACACCGCCTGACCCATAGAGAAGCTCAATGAGGAAATGAATGAATGAATGAATGAATGAAATGAATGGGCAAGTTTGGGGAGAAATAACAGAGCTAGTGGAGCAGGGTAACGTCGAGGAAGCCATTTCTCTCTTTAGCATCCTAAAATGAGAACAAACAACAATCCCTACTTCACGGGTATTGAGAGTATGGTGGCACATGTGGGCTCTCCACAAGTGAAAATTACTATTATTAATACTATAGTAGCATAAACACCTCCCTTACTCAAATGCCTTCCACAGCGCAGAACGAGCTCTCAGAGTGAGAAATATCAAAAACTGTCACGGCTTTGAGTTTTGTGATAGGCAAGGGTAACTCCTCAGAGCGCTCTGAAGAGATACGTTGGGGGAAAAATGCCGCAAGAAGAAGGAAGATTTTTTTAAAAAATCAGAGCGCGACCAGCGGCCACTAGGAAGCGTCTTTCGCCACCACCATCCCCTCGCCCCCGAGCGGCCGCACCTTCACCCGCTGCGCCTCGTTAATGCACTGCTGGTAGCTGCCAATGTAGAAGGCATTCTTCACGTCGAACAGCTCGTCCACTTCCCCGGAGCCGCCGGAGGCCGGGCCGGGAGCCGGAGGCGCCATATCGCTGTGGTCCCAGTCGCTCCTCTTCCGGAGGGACACGTCGGCCGGAAGCAGGGCCTCACCGCAAGGCACGCTGGGTATTGTAGTTTACTCGTTCCTGCCTGGAGATGAACCAAACGGGAATTAAAGGACGGGAGTCGCAACTGCGACTCGCAGGGCATTCGGGAATTGTAGTTTGATTTTATCGCGCGAGCCAATGGAAATCGGGGAAACATGGTAGGCATGGTGTCGAGGCTGGGAATGGCAGAGCGAGCTAGAGGTGGGTGGGACCACGCAGCTAGCGATCCAGTAAACGGGAGGGTTTCTGTGACGTCATCGGTACGCGCCGGAAAGCACAGCTCACACGGGTGCTCACACGGGTCTGGCGGGCAGGATGGCTGGCTTTGCGGAGCTGGGGCTGTCATCGTGGCTTGTGGAACAATGTCGGCAGCTGGGTTTGAAGCAGCCCACGCCTGTACAGCTCGGCTGCATCCCCGCCATCCTAGAGGGTAAGTGTGGCCTGTCCTCTTCCCCAGGAAGCCCCTCCCCCTCTATCGGCTCCCTTTCCTTCGCGCAGCCTTTACCCACGCCACTCTTGCGAGGCGAGGGATACGCTTGGGCGTTATGGGCGAGCCTGGGTCCCAAAGGTAGACTGGGCAGTGTTAGCGTTTGGAATGCACAATTGACTCCCTGTGTGTCCGCACACAAGTGATGTAATCCCAGAACTTTCGTGACCTCAGAGCACAGGGATGAATGACTAGTCGATACTGTTGGAAAACTTTGGTAGTTTGCATTACCATCTTAATTTTACAAATGAAACTGAGGGGGCGCCTGGGTGGCTCAGTCGTTGGGCGTCTGCCTCGGCTTGTGTCGTGATCCCAGGGTCCTGGGATCGAGCCCCGCGTCAGGCTCCCTGCTCCGCAGGAAGCCTGCTTCTCTCTCTCCCACTCCCCCTGCTTGTGTTCCCTCTCTCGCTGTGTCTCTCTCTGTCAAATGACTAAATAAAATCTTTTAAAAAACAACAACCACAAATGGAAACTGAGGTCAAGATTACTGGTAAATGCAGGACTCTGGTCCCATGAATCCTCTGCTACCCACTCTGGCCCAACCCAGTTTGCCATTAAAGAGATGCTCTTAGGGGCACCTGGGTGGCTTAGTCGGTTAAGTGTCAGACTCTTGATTTCCGCTCAGGTCATGTTGTCAGGGTCGAGAGCAAGCCCAGCATTGCGTGGAGCCTGCTTGGGATTCTTTCTCTCCCCCTCTCCCTTTGCTTCTCCCCCTTCCCCGCGCTTTCTCTCTATATATAAAAAAAAGAGAGAGACAGACAGATGCTCTTAGGAAGCCTAGGAAGTACCAAGTTGAGGGTTGAGGGATTAAATAAACAAAGATGAAGAAATCAGTAAGGGAGCCTAGGATGCAGATTGGGGGAGGGCATTCAGGTTTCCCTAAGCCGGGATGCTCTGTGAGGGAGTCAAAATGAGATAGTGACCAATAGCAGGGCGCCTGGATGGCTCCGTCAGTTAAGCATCTGCCTTCAGCTCAGGTCATGATCCTGGCGTCCTGGGATCAAGCCCTGAGTCGGGCTCCCTGCTCAGCAGGGAGCCTGCTTCTCCCTGTTCCTCTGCCGCTCCCCCTGCTTGTGCTCTCTCACTCTCTGTCAAATAAATAAATAAAATCTTAAAAAAAAAAAAAAGTAGTAGTAGCATCTTGGGTCGGATGGATGTGGGTTCCACTCCAGCCTGCTACTCACTGGTTGTGTGTTCTGGGCACACCTCTGAGACTCCATTTCCCTTCCTGTTCAGTGGAGACAATAATGGTCGCACCCTCTGAGAATTTGTCTGTATGCCCAGAATGTAAATGACATAGGCCAGTTTTGGACATACGGTAACTGCTCGTGGAACGTTAGCTATTCTAAACTGTGCCCAGTAGAACACTTGTCTACACCTGGAGTATGTTGACGTTCCTTTGCCCTCTGCCCAGGTCGGGACTGCTTGGGCTGTGCCAAGACAGGCAGTGGCAAGACAGCAGCATTTGTCCTGCCCATCTTACAGAAGCTGTCTGAGGATCCCTATGGCATCTTCTGCCTCGTCCTGACACCCACCAGGTGAGCCCCCCACAGGCTTTCTGGGTGAGTTAACCATCTGTGTTTTTAGGCAAGCACCTTTACCTCTCTGAGCACACTTTCCCTACATATAAAATGGGGACAGAATCATTCCTGTCTCTTAAGGGAGGTACAGAATTAACCAGGATAGTGTGTGAGAAGTGCTGAGCGCAGGGCTTGTCTCATGGCAAGCCCCGGCTAGACAGGAGTTATCAGTAGTCTTGTAGCCCAAGATGGAGACACATCTCATGTTCTTGGGCAGACAAATACGGCAGTTGACATGGTAAGTCCTCTAATGCCAGTAGGAGAGTGTGTATGCTGTGAGGGTGTGGCCTGGCGAGGAAGGCTTCATTCCCGGGATGCCTTAAAGGATGACAGGGGTCTCTCAAAGGGACAAGGTTGGGGAAAGAGATTCTAGGCCGAGGGAACTGCTAGTGTATTCGAGCAGAGGTGTGAGAGAGGCAGGGAACTTGGGGTAATTGGGGCCGGGCAGGTTAGAGCCAACTTGAGAAAAGTCTGAGAGTTAGAACCAATTCTGTGAGTATGTCGACAGGAGAGGGCAAGACAGGAGGACAGGAAGTGGGCACATGGGCCAAGGAGAGGCCTGGGCAGAGCTGGGGCTGAGGGGTAGGGAAGAAAGGACATGGACACTGACCAGCCCCAGGGGAGAGGGGACTGACGCTTAGGTCTCGGGCTTTGGTGACTGTGGTGTCGAGGCCACTGCTGAGGAGGAGAGGCCAGTTTGGGTGGAACTGGTGGGAGAGGGGCCGTGGGATGTCTGGGTCCCAGCCGACAACAGGGCTCCAGTGCTCAGTATCAGGGCCTTTATCGAGAGGGAACTGGGAGCTGTGGTGGGTGTGTAAACAGGAGAGGGCCAGTCAGGAGGTCTGAGGGATGGACATGGGAATGGGAGGCAGGCACAGAACCCCTATCTAACCCAGCCTGGCCCCTTCACACCCACAGGGAGCTGGCCTACCAGATTGCAGAGCAGTTCCGGGTCCTGGGGAAGCCTCTGGGCCTGAAAGACTGCATCATTGTCGGCGGCATGGGTACAGAGGGCCCAGGGAGGCTCTGGGTAGGGGACCCCCCGCGGCCTCAGGCCACCCACCCAGACCCACCTCTCACACTCCACCTGCAGATATGGTGGCTCAGGCCCTGGAGCTCTCCCGGAAACCACATGTGGTCATTGCCACACCAGGGCGCCTGGCTGACCACCTCCGTAGCTCCAACACTTTTAGCATAAAGAAGATCCGTTTCCTGGTGAGTCGGTCTGGGGCCCGGATTCATCTATTTGGGACATGTGTCCCGCAGGCCATCCAGCAGAGCCTTAGGAAGGGTGACAAAGACAGCTGAGGGATCAACAAGAGGTGGCCTGTACTAGCCAGGGTGGTGGGGGGCAGGGCCTCTCTGAGGCGCAGAAATGCTTGAGGGAGCAGATGTCCGAGACCTAGAGGGAGAACGCTCCAGGGCCCATGTGCAAAGCTGGGAAGGAGGCATGTGGGGGAAGCAGGCCCCAGACAGCACTCTCACCCCAGTTCCCCTACCCCCGGCCACTGGTGCTGCAGGTGATGGATGAGGCAGACCGGCTGTTGGAGCAGGGCTGCACCGACTTCACCGTCGACCTGGAGGCCATCCTGGCAGCCGTGCCCACTCGCCGGCAGACCCTGCTCTTCAGCGCCACACTGACAGACACGCTCAGAGAGCTTCAGGGCCTGGCCACCAACCAGCCCTTCTTCTGGGAGGCTCAGGCCCCGTGAGTCCACAGCCAGGTCCCGAGGGGCAGGGCAGGGCAGGCAAGGGGTGGGGGGCCACACCCAACAGAGATTACTGCACTCGGACGGTGAGGGGCATTAGCTCCATTCAGCAGTAGGGGAAACTGAGCCCCCCCGCCATCCCCAGGGTACGTACAGTAGAACAGCTGGACCAGCGCTACCTGTTGGTGCCTGAGAAGGTCAAGGATGCCTATCTGGTCCACCTGATTCAGAACTTCCAGGACGAGCACGAGGACTGGTCCATCATCATCTTTACCAACACGTGCAAGTGAGCATGGCCCTGCCTCTCTCTTCCTCAGACGCCCTCCCATAGCCCTTTCCGAAGGCCCGAGGTACGAGGCACACCGCCTGTCTTGGCACTCCAGGGCCTCTGCTCAGACCAGAGATTTCAGAGGATTCACTCAAGGAAGCTCAGAGAGGTCAAGCAATTTGCTGAGGCCACCCCTTCTGAAGGCAGGACCAGGATTTGGGGTTCCTCAGACCTGCTCTTAACCAGAAGGTACAGGGTCCTCTGGCTGTTCCCCAGAAGCCCTCTGCAGCAGCCGGGAAGGCCTTGAAGCAGCCTCTTCACTGTATCGGGACTTAATGTCACTAGGGCCCAGCACATTGGCTCCGACAACCAGGCCCTCCTCTCTACAGTCCCAGGGGCCTTCAGAATCCGTTGAAGCTCTTGGGGAGGTCTTTAGGAAGCTGTAGCATGAGCCAGAGTAGATAGGCTGCCTACCTCACATGGAGGAGACCTCCTGAGTGGCTGCCGCCCCCCAAGAATTTATTGGCTACCAGAAGAGGAAAGTCTGGAGGTAGGGCTGACTCTCATTGGCTTAGGCCAGGGAAGGGGTCGGCAGAGAGGATGTCAGCAAGCGCAATACCCCACACCCCTGCTTCTCCTTCACCAGCTGTGCAGGGCCACCTACTTGCGGTCCTGGGGTGCACTGGGGCAGAGTGCCTTCCCAAGACCCTGGCTCTGGAGAGGCTGACAGTGTGTCCTTCCCCCCAGGACCTGCCAGATCCTGTGCATGATGCTGCGTAAATTCAACTTCCCCACTGTGGCTCTGCATTCCATGATGAAACAGGTATGGGACCAGGCTGCCCCAGAGATTCTCCCCCGCCATCCCTAGCCTTATCCCTGGCAACTTGTCCCAGCCTCA